CGTTATATACAAAAAATAACAGAAGAACGATTTGCAAAAACGGGAAAACTTTGTGAAATAAAAAAAAAAAATAAATAAAAATTCTCGTTCCAGTATTGAAAACGGACAAGGTCCTGCCATTCGGATTATACAGCCCCAAAACGCGACCTCCGTACACGGTCAGGCTGGATGAATAACTGCTACCCTATTACCCCCGTAGCAAAACCCCTACAAAAAACGAGCAAATTTTCCATGTCTCTGGGGTTAAAGACTTCTGTTATCGTTTATAAATAACGAAAATAATATCTGTTCTTTCTTGGACAAAAAAAAAACGACTACATGATCAATATTTAATACCGTAAACGACTACGCAGGATCAAAGTAGATAATTCAAAGAAAACAACGTCCACTGATTGTAGTTCGTATCTAAACCAACATCTAAACAACATTGGATTAGGAATGTTAAATAGTTCGGGTCCAGACTGGTTCTGGACTGAACTTTTTAAGGACCGCTTAGAACCAATCCGAAACTAATCCAAATAATTTTAACATCTTAAATGGAATGTATATAGCATGAATAAAAATGATACCAATATCGCTAAAATTTAAATAGGTATAAACTTAATTGGGTGATTAATTAGTAATATGTTATTTGTATGTATTATATATTAAACCGCCAGGGCTGAACTGGTTTCAGGCACCAGTTCCTAACTAGTTCAGGATTTTTTAACATCCCTAATAGTAACAAAACAAAACACCTAACCTACAAAAAAAAAATAAATAAATTAGTATATACTATGTAAAAAAAAATAAAATAAAATAAATTAATGTTACAAATAAAATTATAGATTTATAAAATCAAGCTTTTATTCTTTCTGGCCTCGAAAAATTTTGAGTACCCAATTGTTCTTAAAATAAGTTACTTCCAAAACCTATTAATAAATAATAAAACTTAAGAACACGTAAATTAAAAAAAAAATTTAGCAATATAAAATGGCATAAATTCGATAACACATATCTAGTTATTCGCACATAAAACTTAAATGATTCACCCAGATCCAATCACTAAATAAAAAAAAAGTTAGTTATTATTATATACAGTATAACTATAAGTATATACAAAGTAAGTTGCTAACAGTAGTGAAAAGGTCTAAAGGAACAGTGCGGAATGCTATAGAAATTACGTGAATTCTAAAGACTTCTTGACTGTATAAGGAAAACACGTAACCCAACCACAAGTGTAACCGGATTGACTTTATAGCAGAAGTGATGAAAACCAGAAACATTCGTTTCAATAACTGCAGAAATCATTAACTATTGTTTCAAACATCATTTTTAATACTTGTTACGGATCATAGTGAAATCGGATCATCGTGAAATTTGGGGGTCTCAATTTGAAAATATAAGCCCTACCAAAATCCACCTATACTCTTTTACTAATAACTCTAACCCTAAATCCTAACTTAACTATAAAAAAAAACGCTGACAAAAAAGCCCCAAAAAATTTTAAAAATCGTAGATAAAATAGATTCAAATTTCACGATGATCCGATTTCACCATGATCCGTGACATTAAATAAATAACATAAAAAATAAAATATTTATTAGAAAAGACTTAGCATATCAGTATTTATAAAAAAAATCATTGTTTTGATATGTATTTATAAAAAAAGATCATTGTTTTGATTTTTACCAACATTGTACGTATTATACAAACGTGGATGTGCGTCCAATTAGGCACATAACAGATAATGATCTAAATCGTATTCCCGATATTTTTATAAACCACTAACCATAAATACATCAAAAAAGTAACCATTAACAATCAGGTATTACCTAATTCTATAATTGGCGAGTCACTGGCATAAATCGTATTCCCGATATTTTTATAAACCACTAACCATAAATGCATCAAAAAAGTAGCCTTAACAATCAGGTATTACCTAATTCTGTAATTGGTGGGTCACTGGCATTTTGGAGGATAATTTGCCATCCCCTAAATTTAGACACGCGTATTGCAGTCCCGTAACTATACGTAACACGCTTTTATAGCGTTCAATTTATTTTTAACACGCTTTTATACGAGATTAGCAATTAATAAAAACACGTAATTTAAATTTTTTTTTTTCACGCGTTAATCACGTTTTGATTTACCACTTCAATTTTATTAATAGTCAACCAATCAGATAATTTCTACAAATCAATGATTAAATTATTTAATCGATCCATGTAGTGATAGGCATCTACCGCTGGTATCTACCGGTATCTACTGGTAGATACCGTTAGGTTAATATTATGCCGGCTATCGTGAATTGATTTTACGTATCAAATATGAATGTCTTCCTATAACGATAAAGAGAAAATAGGATGGCTGTACTATTTTACTATTATTGGCACTAGTCAAAATCAAAATTCCGACAAACATGTTTGGTCGAATGGCGTGTTGAATGCAGCTGAGTGGCGCCATTCAACATGTCGGATTTTTTTTGGTTTGGGATTTTAGAACCTATTCTTGTAACAGTAGTACAAAGTACTTTATGGTATTCAAATTTATACAGTATTTTTATATAAAACCAGATTTTAATAATACCATACAATGTAAATTTTCTTTTAACCTTTAAAAATATCCTTTGAAAATATCTTGATACCTATCTAACAAACCTTTTTTATTTGAATGTTTCCATCGAATTTGATTAGGGAATTTGATAGGTGAATGTTCAAAGCTTGAAACAAATGTGACTTCTATTTGATAGACACTTTAAAAATTCTCAAAACTTTGATCAAGAACATCTTGACATCCATCTAGCTAATTCGATAAACTTTTTTTTAATTGAATTCTACCAACTTCTAAGGCCAGACCAATTAAATTCTGTGTTTTACATTATCCCCCTCTACCTCCTGGGGGGTTTATTGTGTTATATATACGGATTTTTTTTTTTTTTTTTTACTATGGGGGGTAATGTAAAACAGAATTTAATTGGTCTGGCCTAAGACTAAAATAAAAAAAATTCATTGAGTTTTATTGGATGGATATTGAGATATCTTTAATCAAAGTTTTAAAAAATTCATCAAATCAAAAGGTATGGAAAACACTTCAAGTTCCCATTATTATTAACTACGTCGATGATCTTAGAAAGCTACCATTCTGTTGAAACTATATAGAGTAAAAAAAAAAAAAAAAGGTTATAGAAAATTAAGGTGCTATAACATTTTAAAATTAAAATGTCATCACCAAAATACATGATCACAGCAAGCTCAATTACTGTATAATGAGAGATTCAAACTAAAACCTCTTTGATCTTTAAATAGATCCTGATTAATTTTATTAGTTAAGGTTTGTCCTAATTTGTATTTTTTTTTTTTTTTTTGAGATGAATCACAAACCCAACTTTACACGTAAAAAATTTGGATTTTTAATACAGAGAGACCTCTCTAAATGCACACAATAGGGACCGAACTTCTAAAAACATGCATTTAGAGAACAATAAGAAAACGTACATTTATAGGAGTCAAGTATATACTTGGACCGGGATGGTGCATTTAGAGAGGTCTCTCTGTATCGATATTGATATACCGTCAGACCTCTCTAAATGCATTGCGGCGGGACTATATGCAAAAATTGAGTCAAACGTGCATTTAGGGAGGTAAAAAATCTATAAGTGTTATATTAGTTGGGCCCAAGAGAAGACATGTATTTAGGGAGGCTTTTCATAGAGCGTGCATTTAGGGAGGTTGAGGTCTGACTGTAGATTACATTCACCAATCCAAACAAGTTTGGGGATTTGTTAACTGTAATAGCATTTAGATTTGGCAACTTACATGAAACTATAGGTATAATTATCGGTTACTTAACATTGATTTGGACGATCTAAATTCTAATACGTACACTTGACTGAAATATTATAGCTTTAACGAAATCAGAATGCTATTACAAATCTAAAATCGATTCTTATTTCATATGTTTAAAAGAAGTATATATATCACAACGCATAAAAGAATTGCACATGATCTACTTAAAGTGGATGATTAAAAGTCAATCACTTTGAAAATACTTCGCTATGGTTGGGTTCCCAAGCAATCTTAGAGTTTAAGTTTTCATGTATGAAGTACTAGTAATAACAAAGATTTTAGAAGCTATGGAAACTATGGACCTTAATACACGTATTTTGTTCATTACGAATATCGATAAAGATCTTGTAACACTAAAAATGCTGTAATAGCATTTAGTGTGAAACACAAATCCTAATCTAGTTTCCGAGCATGCAACTTAAAAAAAATATTAGTATCGTGTTTCCCAAAGTATGTATACCCAAAATGTTTTCATCTACTTTTTACCGAACACCTCAACTAGGCTTTACTCTTCTACGCCATAAATTAACCCAATCTCATTTAACCTCTAATTTTCGTTATCCGGCTCTTAGTTTTATTAGCGCGAGCTCTACTCGTAGTAAAGTTACTTCTTTAAATTCTCAGCCACCGATAACACCACCATCACCCAGCGATGTATTTCTTCAAGGCAGTGCTGCAAGCATTGAACAAATGTACGAAGATTGGCTAAAAAATCCAAATTCCGTTCATTTATCCTGGCAAGTGTATTTCAAAAATATCCATACTGGTGTGAATCCTCGTCATGCCTATCAACCTCCTCCAACAATTGTACCAAGTGGAGCTCCCATTTCGGTCACACCAGGAGGCACTTATGGAATAAATGATCATATGAAGGTACAACTTTTAGTAAGAGCTTATCAAGTTCGTGGACATCATCTTGCAAAATTGGACCCTCTAGCCATTATGAATGCTGATTCTAAATTTTCAAAAGAACTTGATCCGATGCATTATGGATTCTCAAAAGAAGATCTTAATAAACAATTTTCATTAGGACCTGGAATATTACCTCAATTTGCTCAAGGCGGTGAAAAAAAGACTCTTCGAGAAATTATTGAATATTGTAAACAAATTTACTGTAAGTATAACAATTATATTATCTCTGTTTTCTAAATGGTGAAAATGGCAAATAATTTTTTTTTTTTGTTGGCGTACACTCGTATACTCGATTACCTTAGCACGTTGATTAAGGAGTGTACGAGTTTACGCCAAAAAAAATTTTTTTATTTGCCATTTAGAAAACAGTGATAATTGATCTATATGATCTCTAGAAAGATTATTCTCGGGATATTGAAATGTATAGTATTAAAAAAAAAAAAAATTTTTTTTTTTTTTTAATTCATTTTAACATTTTATGAAAAAATTTTTTGAATCTATAAAAATTTAAACCGATACACTTCAATACCCAGGAAACGACTTTACTTAAGGTTGTGAAATTTATAATATTTGGCTTGAGAGATCATTAGATCAAGTATTACCTGACATAAAGAGGCATCTTAGATACAATATATATTTAGGCATTTAAATTTGAAAATTGCTGATGAAACTCTCTGATCAGGTGGTCCGATTGGAATTGAATATATTCACATTCCTTATCGAGTTCAATGTGATTGGATTCGTACTCGAGTAGAAATTCCAATACCATATAATTATACGACCGAAGAAAAACGTATGATTCTTGACAGATTAATATGGTCAAGTTCATTCGAAAAATTTGTAGCTTCAAAATATCCAACTGAAAAAAGATTTGGTTTGGAAGGATGTGAAATTTTAATTCCTGGCATGAAAGCTTTGGTAATGTTAAACTAATTTCGATTATTAGATATTATTTTTGTATATATTTTATTTATTTTATTTATTGGAATTATTAGATTGATAGATCTGTTGATCTTGGAATAGAATCAATTGTGCTTGGAATGGCTCATCGTGGTCGATTAAATGTGCTTAGTAATGTAGTTCGAAAACCGAATGAGTCTATATTTTGTGAATTTGGTGGGTCTGCAAATTCTTCTGGTGAAGGTTCGGGTGACGTCAAATATCACTTGGGTATGAATTATGACAGACCAACACCATCCGGAAAACGTGTACACCTTTCTCTCGCTGCTAATCCATCTCATTTGGAAGCTGTGAATCCTGTTGTATTGGGCAAAGTTCGTGCTCTACAACATTACACAGGTGATGAAAAAGAACGACATCGTTCTATGGCTGTTTTGCTCCATGGTGATGCATCATTCGCTGCACAGGGTGTAGTATATGAAACAATGGGTTTTCATGATTTACCATTCTATACAACTGGGGGTACTGTCCATATAGTTATAAATAATCAAATCGGATTTACTACTGATCCCCGATTTGCACGTTCAACACCGTATTGTACTGATATAGCGAAAGTAGTTAATGCTCCTATTTTTCATGTGAACGGAGATGACGCTGAGGCTGTAACTTTTGTATGCCAATTGGCTTCTGAATGGAGACAAACTTTCAAAAAGGATGTTGTTATAGATTTAGTTTGTTATCGTAAACATGGCCATAATGAAGTTGATCAGCCTAGCTTCACACAGCCAAGAATGTATAAACAAATTGCTAAACAACCTTCAACACTTGAAATTTATATCCAAAAACTTTTAAATGAAGGTACATTCACAATTGAACAAATTAATAAACATAAACAGTGGGTATGGGATACATTAGAAGAAAGTTATAATAAGAGCAAAGATTATGTGCCAACTAGTCGTGAATGGCTTTCTAGTTCTTGGCACGGTATTATAATTTTATTATTTTTATTGTTTATTGACTATTATTAAGTGCTTATTTGTTAACATTTGATTTGATAAAAGGTTTCAAATCACCTAAAGAAATTGCTGAAAAAATCACTCCTGTTTATTCAACTGGTTCTTCTCTTGAATCACTTCAACATGTCGGTGATGTTATTAGTTCTTATCCAAAAAAATTCAATATACACCCTGGTCTTGATAGAATATTCAAAGCTCGTGCTAAATCCATAGAAAGTGGTGAAAATATCGACTGGCCCACTGCCGAAGGCCTTGCTTTTGGATCATTACTTCTTGAAGGAAAACATATCCGTCTATCTGGTCAAGATGTAGAACGTGGCACTTTCTCACAACGTCATTCTGTTCTTCATGATCAAGAAAATGAAACTCAATATACACCATTAAATCATTTACGTCACGGTCAAGCTCCATTTGTCGTATGTAATTCTTCCTTATCAGAATTTGGTGCCCTTGGTTTTGAACTTGGATACTCTCTCGTAAATCCAAATTCTCTTATATTGTGGGAAGGACAATTTGGTGATTTTGGCAATAATGCACAATGCATTATTGATCAATTCATTGCAGCTGGCGAAAAGAAATGGCTTCAGCGTACCGGGTTGGCAATCTTACTACCTCATGGTTATGATGGACAAGGTCCTGAACATTCAAGCGGACGTCTTGAACGATTCCTTCAACTTTGTGATGATCATCCATATGTTTTCCCTACTCCAGAAAAAATGGCACGTCAACACCAAGACTGTAATATGCAAGTAGTATATTGTACAACACCAGCAAATTATTTCCACGTTTTACGGAGACAAATTCACCGTGACTTCAGAAAGCCAGTAAGTAATTTATATGTATGCAACCAAGAGAAAATGAGACTTTGGGCTTTCAATATATAATGTAATGAACAAAATTGAACTTCAATTGTGTATAATATATCGCTGATCAAAAATGTTAGAGGTTATCAATAACACTATATAATTGAAAGCCCAAAGTCTTGTTTTCCTTATATATTATTAAGGTTATGTTAATTCTTCTATTGTTCAATGAATTTATATTTTATATTTTGTAAATTTTTACAGCTTATAGTTTTCACGTCAAAGGCTCTTCTTAGGCACCCTATGGCTCGTTCTAAACTTGATGAAATGATTGGTGAGACTTATTTTGCTCGATATATACCAGAACCACATCCAGACACGCTTGCCGCACCGGAGAAAATCACTCGTCATGTCTTATGCTCTGGACAAGTGTATTATACTCTTTTAAGAGCTCGTGAACAAAACAAGATGGATCATGTGGCAATTTCTAGAATTGAACAACTGTCCCCATTCCCGTATGACTTGTTAGCACAGCATGTTGACAAGTATCCAAATGCACAGCTTGTATGGGCTCAAGAAGAACCTTTGAATTCGGGAGCATGGGGTTATGTAGCTCCTAGAATTCGTACTCTTATGAATAGCGCTGAACATAATAAAGGTTTATAATTCTTTCAACATTAAATCGTTTTTAAATGCATAATTATTAACAATAAAATTTAATTGAATGTAAACATAGGCAAAGCTTCTATACCGGCAACTCGTCCACCTTCAGCTTCTCCTGCAACAGGAAACAAAAAACAACATATCCAAGAAGAACATGATTTATTATCCCAAGCGCTTATTGGAAAAGTTTTAAGACCAAAAGATGTTGTTTCTGGAGTACCAGTTTGGGAATATTAAAATGATTAATTTTTTTTAATAGTTATTATTAGGCCATACAAACTTAATAAATTGGTTCTCATAACCCGACCGGGTCAAATTTCGCAAAATTCTTAAAAAAATTTTTGACTATATTTACTACAGTCTAGGATTATACGCGATATGGAAATGATCTGCAATTATATTAGAAGGGTATTCTAAACCCGATTTCAATTGAAAAAACAAAAGCATTTTTTATTATTTGAAAATAACCATCA